AATCTGACACTCACATACACAGACTATTCAAAAACCCCTCTGAAATAGACATTAAGCTGTCCCTTGTTGATAAAGACTGTGAGCAACTACACATAAACAAACATAACAACACTGAAACAGGCTGTAAACTATCAAGTGGGGACGCAGATTGTGAGCAATGACAAGTCTCAAGTGGTCCAATTGCGAAAATCAAATATAATAATTGCCACAGCCAAGCAGATCCAAAAGAACACATCCACAAAATTAAGGGCACAAGCCAAGAGGTCACTGTAGGAAGCCTGGGGGAAAACCCCAAAAGTTACCTGGCCAGAACTGTCTTCCCCTCTGGCATCTCGCCCACTGATCGCAGTTATCTGATTCCTCTGGGACTGTCGATCTAAAAACCTGTCCTCAACCCTCCCACAGGAGACCTCCCCGAGTTCCAGGGTGCCGCTGACCGTTCCTGGATTCTGCTTCTGAATTGTTATGTCAATCTCCAGCGACGGGACTAGTAAATTCACAGTGGAGGTCACTATGGCTTGGGCTCCGTCGCTGCAGAAGCTGTTGCTGCAGACGAGGGTCTCGCTCTCATCATCCACCACCACTGTGGAAGTAATGTTGAGATCTGCAGGCTGGGCTCCCATGCTCCAGACATGACCAGGTTCCAGTCTCAGGCTGACATTTCGAGCCACCGACCCAGGTTGCCTGGTTGGCCGCTTCATATCTGATGGTGTAGAGGAGGAAAAATCTGGCACTGTCACTGCTGGGGAATCTCGGTTTTCATGGTCACTGTTGTTTTCTTCAGGCTCTACCAAAGCTTCAGTCTTCAAATTTGTCAATGCTCTCTCACTGGCATCAAGTTCAAGTGTTTTGACAGAATGCAACACAGGACACACCGAACTATCAACCCCCAATGGAGGGATTCTGTTAGAGAAATCTGGCACTGGGGCCCCTTGTGTCACCTCAAGGTCACGTGCAGCTGAACTTACACATTTCTTCAATTTCATTGGCAATGATTCCTTTATTTTATCAGCACATCCATTTTCAATGGTGCCCACCTCATGCTGAGCCACTTCTATATTCACCTCTGCTTCAGCCTCGAGTGAATCCTTCAGCGTGCTCCCTGCTCCAATTCCAACATCACCATACTTCCCTGAAGCAGCCATCCCTTGTGTCTTAACTGGCAAACCAGCATTCATCTGTGTAACCTCATCAGCATCAATCTCTGTGTCTTTCTCACCTTCACTGAGCATAGTCAGATCAAGGCTTAAATCTTCAACCTTAGATTCATCTACTCCATATTCTGTATTTCTGGTATAGATTCCATCTGAATAGACAAAATACTCACTGCCATATATCCAGACCACAGCCGATGTTCCTCCTGCTAATGAATGTTTCCCAGAAACATCATTTGTTGATACAGTATCAGGTAAACATGGATATGAGACATTGCCCATGATTGTATCCTGGCTCAATATGCTGGGATCTTTTTTCTCAGATCCAACTACTGAACTACCATGGACTCCTGTATTATCCACATGTGCATCAGTGACCAAACCACCATTATCTAAGCCAGCCCTCTTCTCTCTGCCAGAATCATATATACTGCTGGTGCCTTCGGCAAGACTGGAGCTGATAAAACCTGGCAAAGCTTTGACTCGCTTTGAGTAAATCTGTCGGACCTCCTGCTGAAAGGTCTCAATGAAAGGTAAAGGTGACCTCAAAATATTGTTTCGGACATCTGCATTCACCGGCTGAGTTTGACTTTTGTCATTACCATCATCATCATCTCGAACTCTGCCAACTTTGGCATTGGCCACTGTACCCACAGAACTGGTAGTATCAACAGTAGGCATTCCGGATTGGCTTGAGTCAACAGTGCTTTTCCACATCGTCGTTTCATTCTCAGCTTTCCCATCATTAGGACTATCAGCAGAGATACCATTACAGCCACTGTTATCCTCAGCAGACTTGCCTAAATCATTAATAACATGATTTAAGTAAACAGTGCTTCTCCTAACCACTCTAGGACTGTGATTTACATCCTCTGCCACAGCACCAGGAATACCAGCATAAGCACCTCTGAAGCGACTGGCATCATCAGCAACAGACTTGTCTGCAACACCACAAGACATTCTCCCAAAGAAGCCCTCTTTCCCATTCCATCCATCAACCATTTCATCCCCAAAAGCATCTTTTTCACTCATTTTTACGGCATCAACCCCAGTTACATGACTCACTTCTTCATAAAAATTACCACCAACCCCACATTCAAAGCTGTCCTCATCTGATATCTCATTGTCGCTGATACACTCCTCAACAGTGACAGGAGGCAGACTAGAGTTCAAACAGACACCAGTCTCTGCATCACAAGCCCCGAAGAACCTCCTGTTGATGCTGTCCTCACCAGCTGATTCCTCTGGAACATCATCACTAAAGAAAGCAGGGTTGACAAAACCAGTGCACTTCAGAGATTTATCATGAAAAACACTGTAGGCTTTCCTCTGGGGACAATCTAGGTCATCAGAACCATCTCCTTGACAACTGGCCTGGTCTGTCACCAATACATCTCCTGGACAGACGTCCACCTGGTCGGGTGTCAACCCAAATTCAGACAGATTTAAATCACTGTTCATGCAACCCAAAGGGAAAGTGAATGATTCAATGTCTAGATCTATTTCAGAGTACAGTTCCCCTTCACTCTGGTGATTTTGTTGATGACAAGTGTGACTTTGTGCCTCAATACTTTCAGTACCTTGTTCACCCCATGGCTCTGTCCCTACTTCCTTGGCAGAGGAATCTCTTTCATGAATTTGCTCTCTTCTATGATTCTTAGCAATTAAATCATCTCCATGAATTTGATCTATTTGGTCTGATCTATGATCATGTTCTAAACCAATTTCACGCTTGGTGCTGGACACATGAACCTGCCTGCAATCTGCTGAAGTCATACCGCTAGACATATATCTAACATCTTCAACCATCGGATCCCTTAAACCAAACATAGAAACAGGTTCAGTTAGCAGTCCTTTAGCATCATCAGGAGATGAAACAACTCCAGAAATAGGTTCGGTAAGCAATCCTTTAACCTCGCCAGGAGATGAAACAACCCCAGAAACAGGTTCGGTAAGCAATCCTTTAACCTCGCCAGGAGATGAAACAACTCCAGAAACAGGATCAGTAAGCAGTCCTTTAGCATCATCAGGAGATGAAACAACCCCAGAAACAAGCCATCCTTTAACCTGACCAGCAGTTGAAGCAACTGCGGAAGCAGCAATCTTCATAGGGATACTGTACATGTCTTCCTGGCCACACCGGCCAATGCTACCTTTCTCTACATCAACATCGAAGTGAACAACTGGCCTCGACCCAAATAAAGCGGCTGAGATGTGTCTCTCTTTGAGTGGATTTTGCATGAGGTTACAAAATGAACAGCTCTGCTTCCCATCAAAACAGGTGCAAGACTGAGAGCCATGATCGTGCCTGTAGTAACTCTTATTTCTAACATCTTGAACAGCCACTGAAACTTCCTCACCCAGATAATATCCAACTGTCACACTCTTCTCTGGATCTTCACTACAGTTACCAGGTTCACTTTTCAACAAACCAATACCATCATTTTCTGGCTGCATGCGACAAAAAGGCTCAAAACTGCCACATATAATTCTCAAATCCTGATCAGAGTCACGAGGTTCTTCAATGTTCCCACAAGATTCTTCAATGTTCCCACGAGGTTCTTCAATGTTCCCACGAGGTTCTTCAATGTTCCCCCCGCACGGCCCGATCACAATTTTCTCCGATTTCCTGGGATTCTGTGGCCGTTCATCGGCCTGCAATGTCAACTGCTCATTTTTCTCTGGTTCCTTGTGATTTTCAAATTTTTCAATAAATAGGTGGATTACATTTTCCTCCGACTGGCTGTGATTCTGTGCCAATTCAACAGCTTTCAACATATTTGGCTCCGAATCAATGCCACTAATTTTTCCACTGGTTGGGCTGATTACATTTTCCTTCACGCCACTGCAACTTTGTGCCGATTCATCAATTTTCAATGTAAACCGCTCCTCGTCTTTCTCATTCACACTGCGCTCAAACCAAAACTCTGTTTCAGATTCTTCATCATCATCATCGTCCTCATTCACCTCTTCCCCATTGTCATAGTTCAACTCCCCCTCTGTTAGCACATTCAACTGTTCGGACATGTGCACTTGCCTTGGACAGACATTACAATCTTCCTCTATTCCACCGACACACTCAAACAAACACAGATCACAAGCCACATAGGGAGAATGAGTCTCACCAGTACTCACTATCGTCTCCACACCTAACTCACCACTAACTTGGCTAACACAGCTCTGATCATCTAAAGATAAAGGATTGGTTACCGAATAAGAGACATTTAGCTGTGACAATTCCTCACCTACTGTCTCCACACAGTCCACACCTTCACTCACCAATGAACATTGTGGAGACACAAACTCAAACTCCTCAGGTGCTTCAATATTTGGACTGGTACATCTACCCCCTTGAATGCTACTCACACACAACAAACCTCCTGGATCCACTCTTTCTTGCACTAACCCACACTCATCCCCTCCATCTACCTTTTCTTGCTCTGACCCGCATTTATCCCCTTCATCTACCTTTACTTGCTCTGACCCACATTCATTCCCTCCATCTACCTTTACTTGCTCTGACCCACATTCATCCCCTTCATCTACCTTTACTTGTTCTGACCCGCATTCATCCTGAAGTGACACACCAACAACCTGCCTTAGAACATGAACAAACTCAAGTATGTTTGAGAACTGAGACATTCTGCAACCTTTCACTTCAGACTTTTCTTCTAAAGAATTAACAAACTGAACGTCTTCTAAAGCTTCAGATGTGAAACAATCATGAAAATGTGTAGAAATATAACTCAGAAATGCCTGGTAATTATTAGCATGCAACAACAAGAAAATCTCCTTGATCAAATCTTCTTTGGGGAGGATTTGGCTGTTCGGTGGGCCAGAATCAAGCTAATGCTCCATAGAGTCTTCCTTGTCCCCGCCTTTACCTTTTGCAGTTTCCTGCATAGCTTTGACAAACGCCTCCACATCTGAAATATATATATATACATATATCAGAAATTTATATACAAGAATGAAAAACATCAGCTACACAAATACAACAGTGTGTGTGTGTTTTCCATCAAGATGATGATGCCCACTCTTTTTCATCAAGTATGAGTACGCAGATGACTGATGAGGCCGATGCGGGCTCGAAAAGTTCTTGGACGGTAAGGACAGGGAATAAGCGTTGTGCCAGGGAGGGGATCTCCTGCAGTCGCCTTTCTGTCCATCCTTTTCTTAAAAAGTCTTGCTGTAGTGTTTGCTTCACATGCAGCCGTGCCCTTGTGTAGAGAGAGCTGCACGCCATGCATTTCGGTCTTGAGAGGCAGCCTCCCAGTTAGTGTCATTCATCCCAAATGCTTTGAGTGAGGACTTCAAGGTGTCCTTAAAGCATGTCTTTTGCCGTCCTTGTGAAAGCTTCCCATTTTGCAGCTCAAAAAAAGAAGAGTTTTTTTGGGGAGCCTGTGATCTGGCATGCGTGCTGCATGACCAGCCCAATGAATCTGATACTGCATCAGTAGAGTGTGGGTGCTGGGCATGGCTGCTTTCTCAAGGACTATGGTATCAGGTACTTTGTCTTGCCATCTGAATGTTTGCAAACCACGGTAGCTAACATGAATACGGTTAAAAGAAAAAAATCCCCCATTGAAATTTAGGGCCCTTCGGGAGAGACTGTAATAAGGGGGAATTCCCTGGGATCCGAAAGTATTCACCAGTGTGACAAATTTTTGTCACAGGCCGGGAAAGTGAGGTAGGTAAATGGGACAACAGGTTCCCGTGTCTGAGTGAATGATTGCAAGAAACCCGTGAGGTGAGAAGGGTTTGAAGGTGAGACAGAGATTAAATTAGAGTGTGTTTGACTGTAAGGGAGGAAGGATGTTTGCGTCAAGTAACTGATGAACATATGATTAAAAAGTATTAGTCAAACAAAAGAAGGACCAAAAGATGTCAAGAAAAGTGAAGATTTCAAAAAAAGACAGGTTCTCCCCCCCCCCATTGTTATGAGAATGGACAGACTTGGGAACTTGGCAATGACTGGCAAGACTAAGGGCAAAAGGTCAATGTGAAGGCAAAGAGATAAAACATCTGCATGGCTTTGCTACATGGATAAAGCTTGACAATAACCTGATCAATGATTCTGATGATTACATGAGATGACAAAACATGATGGTCTATGCAACTTTGTCCCTACATGTATTCCAGTTCAACTTTGTCCCTACATGTATTCCAGTCTTTGTCCTAACATATATTCCAGTTCAACCTTGTCCCTACGTGTATTCAAGTCCAACTTTGTCTCTACATTTATTCCAGTCCAACTTTGTCCCCACATGTATTCCAGTCCAACTTTGTCCCTACATGTATTCCAGTCCAACTTTGTCCCTACATGTATTCCAGTCCAACTTTGTCCCTACATGTCTTTCAGTCCAACTTTGTCCCTACATGTATTCCAGTCCAGCTTTGTCCCCACACATATTTCAAACAGCTATATCCCCACAAGTATTTTAGTCAAACTAAATCCCCACATGTATTCCAGTCCAACTTTGTCCCTACATGTATTCTAGTCCAACTCTGTCCCTACAAGTATTCAACTTCAACTATATCCCACATGTATTTCAGTCAACTATATCCCCACTTGTATTTCAGCCTAGAGATACCTTAAACTGTATTAAAGTCTAGTGATATAGCTTAACCACAGATTTAGTATCAACCCTCTGTGAGCTAGGACACTAACATACAGTACAGATAAACTCCAAGAGATGAAACTATGCAGAAGAGACTGACCCCCAAGAGCAGCAGCATTAGCCACGTCCTCGCCTAGACCGAACTGTGACATCAGAGGGCCCAGCTGGCCCGACTGGAGAGCTGAGCCAAAAGAACTCAGGGCCTGAAACCAACATCAAATGAATTCAGATATCAAGATATAAATCAGCTAGCTGGGTTATCATCATTGCACTCCGGACATGTACATAGGTGCTCAGATCCTCCCCTCAGTATCAACCCCAGCATCCGGTGGCCAACAGTGCCAGTTCTATGTTGATTAACAAGTCCTCTGATGTACCCCCCCCCCCCCCCCCATCCGGTAGCTAATAGTGCCAGTTATATATTGATTAACAAGTCCTCTGATATGCCTGGTGTCCGCCTAGTTTTTCGCTATGCTGATCTCAACTCCCAGAGCTAGTGATGTAGATTCACTGCCCTAAAAGTCCTTCATATATAAATGTGTGGGAGCGGTGGCAGCATAAGAGAACCATCTTTTTGGGCTGATGACTTTGTTGATGACAGCGCTCATCTCCCTACACCAGCCAGTCACTTTGTTCATTGTTGCTTGTAGCTCTTGGGCTGTCTGTTGTCTGGATAGATACACTATCTAAGATATAAATGTTGTACAATCTATGTTATAGGGAGGAGGATAGATATATTGTGTACACTACAATCTATGTTACAGAGACCAGGATGGATACACTGTCCAAGATATAATTATGTACACTACAATCTATGTTACAGGGACCAGGATGGATACACTGACCAAGATAAAACTGTGTACACTATAATCTATGTTACAGAGACCAGGATGAATATAGTGTCCAAGATACACAGGACTGTGTGTCAAAGAGAATTTACTGGCTGCAAGTGCACCAGTTGTAGCTGCAATCATAATGAACACAGCACAGAAGCTGATGTTTGCCTCAGTAGGAAGACTGGCTAGAATCAGAATACAACAAATATAAAAGGGATGCATGGATGGGGATTGAACTCTTTCACCCTGAAAAGCCTCAATCTAGTCATTTCCAGCTGTGCCACATCCCCGTAAATGCTGACATATTGCCATGTCTGCAGGGACTTGTTCTAAAAAAAAGTATAGTTAACCTCCATTGGTCCTATGTGCACCTGTATATTTTTAATAGGCCAATTTTCCTGTCAGACTTAGTGATAAAGGTTACCTGATCTAGTTTTTGTCTGTTTTTCTACACCAAAGAATGTATTTCATTGGGGCCAAAGGACAGGTTCCCTACACATGGGTCATGGCCCCTAAATGGGGTGGCAAAGTGTTTTCTGTGTGGTTGAAATGCAGTGGTAAGCTATCAATATTTTAAAAGAGGAAAACAAAACAAAACATTCGCATCATCACGTCCTGAACAAAGAAATGTCTGTTGAATGTAAAAACTGCTCAGCTTATGATTGGTCCATTTTTAGTGACATATGCTTGCTGAGTAATGTATGGGTCAGGGGTTGCTTTGCCTCTTTAAAAAAAAGTTGGGATGCAACTGGAAACAGTTTTAGAACTGCTGAAAAACTACACCTTATATCTGCTGACCGAAAATCAATGGATATGTATAGTGTGATTATTATGTCAATTCCTAAACAAATCTTTTTCTTCTTCTTCGCCTCCACCAGCTGTCTACTCTGGCGGAGAGTTCTGGGTGTTTGTCCAGCTCCGCTCTTTATTCCTGCTCAAGATCCTGAGTGTTGCGTGCACATCTGTTCCACAGATCTGGATTACATGTTTGCAGACTCTCGCTTTCTTTCATCACAGGCAGATGTACTCCGACTTCAAAGGATGTACCCACTCAGTCAACTCCAACAACACCCTTGTTAGGAGGCAGCAGGTTTATTCTTGCTTTCCTCAATAATGGGGAACACTGAGATAAAACATATCAAACCTAACCGACGAAACATGGTCTTTGCGAACCCACCTGCTGAAACTGGGGTGACTGGATGGTGCTGCGCAGTCCCTCCTCGGTTTTGGGCAGTGTCTCTCCCTCAGGAAGATATGGCACGAGCCGCTCTTGTATTTCAGGGTTTGCCAGAATGGGGATCATTGCTTCAGGGTTGAGGGCCTTCACCAGGTCCACTGTTAACCATCAGAGATAAAGAGATATAACATTAGGTACAGGACAAATTCAACATCGATGTTTAATGTCTCCATCATGCCCAGCTCTCTAGTGTAGTTAGCTAAACCGGATTGCGCGGTGACTGGGTGACGTACTCTTTGTGGTCCGAGTAGGCAGAAAAGTTGCATTTCTCCCAGATTTACGGTATTTACAATGGAATCAAGGCCGAAAGGTTGCGATATCCATAATACCGAGCCCAAGGGTTAACAACTCATGGCTTCTGGATACTAAAACAAACAAGCAATATCTCCATCATTAATGTGATGGCATATTATGACAACGGGAGTCACCGTGGTGTAGCGACCAGACGCTCGCCTGTGGGTCGGAAGGTCGTGGGTTCGGGTCCCGGCGGAACCGGGCTTTCTTTTTAAAAAAAAGACCTCGGCTATTAGGTAGACTCAGCCTCGAGTGGGTACCAGATGCAGTCCTGGGAGGTAAAGGTGGCCGGCATGATGCTGACCACATCACTCACCAAGTGCTGATTATAAAATACAGGTCTAGCCCTATACGCCCACTACTGAAGGCGTGGAAAAAAGGTCCTTCCCTTTTTTTTCAAATGACAACAAAAAACTGATGTTGCAATCTAACAGATACATTTTCTTCTGCTTCGTGCATCTGAGGATGCAACTGGGTTTACAGCAGGGTTGCAATATTTGCACTTTTCGACCAACACATCCAACCTCAGGAGTTTGGTGCCCCTGTCAGATTTGTGGGATCTCTCCCAGCCTGACTGTTGTGTGGTCATCCACAGGTGGTGCCCACTAGCAGGCCAGTCAACAGCCATGTCATGCTTTCAGCCTCAAGTGAGTGAGTATGTGTGAGGTTCAACCCCATCAGGACCGTACAATGGGCGATAAACACCCGGGGACACAAAGTGCCACCATCCGCATGACAATCCCAGCAACCCTGTTTAGCAGTTAGGTTATCGTCTTCTTTCTTCTTCGCGTTCACCAGCTGTACACTCTGGCGGAAAGTTCTGGTTGTTCATCCACTTCTGAACTGCAGCCCTGTTCCAGAACCTGAGTGTTGCGTGTGCATCTGTTTTACAGATCTGACTCATTTGTGTGCAGACTGCTGGTTCCTTGCCTCTCAGGCAGATGCACTCCGACTTCGAAGGAAGCTCCCAATCAGTCGACTCTTACGACATGCTTTTGGGTAGGCAGTGGGTCTATTCTTGTTTTCCCTATAATAGGGCCCCAGAACCCACACGGGGAGGTTAGGTTATATTAGGGCTCCCGACAACAGCCGGGGTGGGGCTTTAAAATAACAAAAACATGAAGTCTCATACTGGGCCAGGGCGACAAATAACTTGCAGCAGCCTCAAGAGAAGGTAGGGGGCAGAACATAAGCATTCTCCACCATACAAGGAGATGTCCATAAACGCAGAGACAACACATTCTGATCAGGTACTGGACTCATCCTAGGAACCGGCAGGTCCTGGTCATGACTGTTAACTCTTTTGGTAACAAGAAACTCGCCATTTATTTCTTGGCATTCAAAGCATAATGTAATGTTCTTGCTGTCTCCTATCACGATAGATGTCTTATTAAGATGTATCTAAATTTCTAGTTTTACTAGTCACCATGTCTCTGTTTAACACCTTTAAATATAAGTATTTATTGCTTGTAAGCTCAACTCCTAGGGGTAGGAGGGGTTAAAGTGATAAGTGCTTGGGAGTGAAAGAGTTAAACCTCACTCATCATGGGCTGCACCTTAAGAAGTCACCAATTTACACTTCTGTATCCAGTATAATAAAAGTTGATGCTGTTATTTTAGGACAAGTACAGAAATTTCAGTATCTGGGCACATGGATAACATCAGATGGAAGATGTATAACTGAGATAAGAAACATAATAGGACAGGCAAAAACTGCATTTTATAAAATGAAAAACATCGTGTGCAATATATCCTTGTCATTGAGAGTTAGAAAAAGAATTCTTGCTTGCTACATACATCCAGTTTTAACATATGGCTGTGAATTCTGGCCAATCGGTAGGCAGGCCAAACAATTTCTGGAGGCCTCGGAGATGTGGTTTTACAGAAGAATGCTTAGAATACCTTGGACAGCAAAAAAGAGCAACCAAGAGGTTTTGAAAGAGGCGGGAGCCCGAAGACAACTTATCACAGACATCAGAAGGAGACAGTCATCATTTTTCGGCCATGTTATGAGAAGAGGGAAAATAGAACATGTTGTGACCACTGGAAAGATATGTGGAAGGAGAGATAAAGGAAGACAGCGAGAGAAGATGCTTGACAGTCTTGTTGCATGGCATGGAGGTGTGTCGGCACACGAACTGATACATACTGCAGAAGATCGCAGATTATGGAGAGGCATGATCGCCCACAAGGCAAGGCACCTGATGATGATGATCCAGTATAATGTAATCAGATATTTTTCTACTGATGCCACAGTTTAAACAGCTCTGTTAAGTGATGTGCACGCACAGACATAGAAAAACACTACAATTATTTACCTTTGTAAAAATACCAGAGAATGATTATCTATGTAGAGCACTAACTATGAAGTACTGTATTGATGATGCAGTCTAATGCGCAACACAAAGTTCTGCCACCACCCAGGAATAATTATCTATATCAGTGATTCCCAAACTGTGCACCGCTGCATCCCAGGGAGCCACGACCTCTTCACAGGGGCGCCGTGAAATACTGTAAAAGCTTCATAATTAATTTAACCAAGACACCATATTCATAATTTTACAGAGGACTGTGTAAAGACAATGAAGGTTATCTATGTTAAACACCAGAAATTTTCCCTTATTTAAAAAAAACAAAAAGGAAATGTTTTTCCATGTAAAAACACCAGAAATGTTCCCTAAATAAAAAAAATAAAAAAAAAAGGAAATGTTTATCCATGTAAAAACACTGCAAAAAGAATGTATTACCTTCTTTGTCAGCACCATCAGGAGGAACTGAAACAAGAAACAAACATCAATAAGGTAACTAGACATAAAAACTAACTAGGGAGATGAACTGAGGAAAGAAAGAAAGAAAGAAAGAAAGAAAGAAAGAAAGAAAGAAAGAAAGAAAGAAAGAAAGAAAGAAAGAAAGAAAGAAAGAAAGAAAGAAAGAAAGAAAGAAAGAGAGTGAGTGACAGAGTAAGTGAGAGAGTGAGTGAGTGGGTGAATGAGTAAGTGAGTGAGTGTGCGTGCGCACTAGTCAACAGATTGTACACCAAACAAAAAAAGAACATGTACCAGGCTACTGCATGTCTCTTTCAACTTTACAGCTAAGTATTCATGCTGCTTCGTTTGTTATAAAGAAATTAGATTTGCTGAAATCGTATGCGTTAAGCCGAAAAGTACAGACATCACAGCATAGCTAAGCAACAGAAGAAGACAATCGAAATAGTTGCTAGTATCTGCACATTTCTTTCCTTGTACTGAGCTTTCAAAAAAATAATTTTGTGTTCACTCAGTTTTCTGTTACCAGCATGACAGCAGTGACTCTGATTTTCTACACTCATTTCTCAGATACCAACATGACAGCAGCAACTCTGATTTTCTAAACAACTGACGAAGACCTGACTGCTAGACTTGTCCCAAGGTTTTAGAGCTGAAGTAGCTCTTCTCTTGTACTTTAAACAGATTGTAACTGTCTTTTTATTCTCTCCATTCCTGATACTGCAGCCTAGCTGTAAACTACAACATAACAGGTCAACTGCACAGATTGTCTGTAACACTGTCTTGTTATTCTCTCCATTCCTGATACTGCAGCCTAGCTGTAAACTACAACATAACAGGTCAACTGCACCTGTAAGAGCAAAAGCAGATGAAGAACAACTCACCACTCATGGTGGACAGGATGTTCTGCAAATCACTCAGTTGAATTTGAGCTCCGGCTCCAGCTGCTGCAGGGGCAGCTGTGGCTGCTGGCTCGTTGCCTCCTGCACCAGTAGTCGCTGTGCCTGCACTAGAAGCATCACCTGCAGTCTGCTGTGAAGGCAGGGTTGTTGCGGTCGCCGGACGAGGCTGGGCGGCTGGGGTTTCTACTGCAGCAGTCCTAGCGGCAGATGCTCTTGATCTTAGTGGCCTGAAATAATAGATACATTGCTGAATGTTCTGTAGCAGAAACATGGTAGTTGGGTATGTGTGTGTATGTATGTATGTATGTGTATGTATGTATGTATGTGTATGTATGTATGTGTATGTATGTGTATGTGTGTGTATGTATATATGTATGTATGTATGTATGTATGTATGTGTATGTATGTATGTATGTGTATGTATGTATGTATGTATGTGTATGTATGTATGTATGTATGTATGTATGTATGTATGTATGTATGTATGTATGTATGTATGTATGTATGTATGTGTGTATGTATGTATGTATGTATGTGCCTGCAGGTCTTTATACTAGTTCTGTTCTACAACTCAATTGTTGTATTGATACTTTTAGAAACAGTAGATTTGACATTGCTGAGAAAAATGGGGCCAGCTCTGTGGTGATGTACCTAAGAGATACAGTGAAACAGACCTGACTATAAATTGTGCAATGAATTCTTTGTGTCCACATTATTTATATTTATTACAGGAAAACCTTATTTTGAATTGGTGAAAGCACCCAGCATTTATTCATCATCAGTTCTCGTTATGCCAAGTGGCAATCTTCAGTGCAGTTTTGCATGTCAAAGTGCCGCACTCAGGTCACTTTCCATCGTTCGTCTCCATGTTGTTTTTGGGCACCCCTGTTTTCTCTTTCCCTCTGGTGTCCATGTGAGAGCTGTTTTGGCAGGTATATCAGAAGTCATTCTCATAACGTGGCCAAGCCATTTCCATCTTCTCATTTATTGCATGCACTAAAACACACAAGTGTTTGAGCATTTATTGTCAAATGGCTGTAGCAGCTCTCATCTGACATTTAAAAGTACAGGACATGACAGTCTGAGAAGAGACGACTGTTGATCACAACTGTGAATCCCCATGTGGGATTTGGAAAAAGTGCCAATATCTCTCATGACACCCCATGAAACATGAAACCAAACGCTCTAAACACTGAAAACACAACTCTCTGTGTTAGTTTCAGGACCTCATTTGGGAAAGAGGGTGTGGGGGGGGGGGGGGGGGAGGGGAGAGAGAGAAAAGAACAGACCCATACCCCTCTAACAAGCATGTTGTCAAAGACAACTAATTAAGGCGTTTCTTTTCAAGTCGAAGCACGTCTGAGAGATGGGGAACCAACAGTCTGCCCAAAAATAAGCTAGATCTGTTAAACGGATTGCATGCAAAACTCAATTCTGGAAGAAGATCAAAGTCCAGTAGTGGATGAACAACCAGAACTTTCTGCTGGATTTTACAACATCCGGTGAATGGGATCAATGTCTCTGCAGATACACTAAGAGAGAGAAAGAGAAAGAGAGAGAGAGATGTAAATGGCAATGAATGACAATATCTGCACAAAGAAGGCTTTGTACTGTAAGTGGCAATGAATGGGAACAAAGACTGTACACTGAGGAAGGAAAGAAAAAGAAGGGGGGGGGGGGGGAAGAGAAAGAGGATATAAAAGAGAAAAAGAGGCAGGGATCAATATATAAATGACTATTTGCCGATGAGACTACTTACGGCTCTGAGGCTGTGGATGCAGCACTACTGGGTCTTCCAAGAAGAGACCCAAAAGGACTCTGACCCCCGCCTCCTATACCAATGCCACCTGCCACAGACATCAATGTCAGTTAGTCGTCATGTCATGCTGCCAGGAACAGCTGCAACTTATTACACACATTATTTATACATATATAACAAATCAATGTTAGATGTCTCATTTTCATATTTATACACACACAACATATGGACGTTTAAGTAAGTTACATCTACCGTTTTCTTTCCTATTCTGCCTCTTAATGTCAGGCCGAGTTAAGAACTCATACGAGGAGTCCTATGTGTCAATCACAGTTACTTTCTCATGTAGCCAGAAACAGCTAGCATGTTTCATTAAAACCTTCTGTCTCTCATCTCTCAAAGAAGCATAAGTGCTCCAGCAACTGTGCCGAACCCTTTGTAAAGTTGTCCATAACTCTGAAACTGTCTTTGCTACATCTACGGCTATTAACTAAAGGCCTGCAGATCTTTGCCAAATGTTTTGTACTAACGATCTTTTTATGCTGAGGTTCAGGCTCTTAGCCTGTGACGATCCCCATTTTCAAAATTGTTGCCCCTGAGTAAACTTTGGTAGTTAAATGTCACATGTTCTGACGTTTGTACGTTTAAATTTAAACTCCATCCAGTACAGGAGTGTAAGTGTAATCGAAGACCCCTGAGTACACTTTAGTGGTTTATTGTCATGTTTTCTGATGTTTGTAGGTTCAGATTTAAACTCCATCCAGTACAAGAGTGCAAGTGTAATCGAAGACCCCTGAGTACACTTTAGTGGTTTATTGTCATGTTTTCTGATGTTTGTAGGTTCAGATTTAAACTCCATCCAGTACAAGAGTGCAAGTGTAATCGAAGACCCCTGAGTACACTTTAGTGGTTTAATGTCATGTGTTCTGACATGTTGCCCCTGAGTAAACTTTGGTAGTTAAATGTCACATGTTCTGACGTTTGTACGTTTAAATTTAAACTCCATCCAGTACAGGAGTGTAAGTGTAATCGAAGACCCCTGAGTACACTTTAGTGGTTTATTGTCATGTTTTCTGATGTTTGTAGGTTCAGATTTAAACTCCATCCAGTACAAGAGTGCAAGTGTAATCGAAGACCCCTGAGTACACTTTAGTGGTTTATTGTCATGTTTTCTGATGTTTGTAGGTTCAGATTTAAACTCCATCCAGTACAAGAGTGCAAGTGTAATCGAAGACCCCTGAGTACACTTTAGTGGTTTATTGTCATGTTTTCTGATGTTTGTAGGTTCAGATTTAAACTCCATCCAGTACAAGAGTGCAAGTGTAATCGAAGACCCCTGAGTACACTTTAGTGGTTTATTGTCATGTTTTCTGATGTTTGTAGGTTCAGATTTAAACTCCATCCAGTACAAGAGTGCAAGTGTAATCGAAGACCCCTGAGTACACTTTAGTGGTTTATTGTCATGTTTTCTGATGTTTGTAGGTTCAGATTTAAACTCCATCCAGTACAAGAGTGCAAGTGTAATCGAAGACCCCTGAGTACACTTTAGTGGTTTAATGTCATGTGTTCTGATGTTTGTAGGTTCAGATTTAAACTCCATCCAGTACAGGAGTGTAAGTGTAATCGAAGACCCCTGAGTACACTTTAGTGGTTTAATGTCATGTGTTCTGATGTTTGTAGGTTCAGATTTAAACTCCATCTAGTACAGGAGTGTAAGTGTAATCGAAGACCCCTGAGTACACTTTAGTGGTTTATTGTCATGTTTTCTGATGTTTGTAGGTTCAGATTTAAACTCCATCCAGTACAGGAGTGTAAGTGTAATCGAAGACCCCTGAGTACACTTTAGTGGTTTATTGTCATGTGTTCTGATGTTTGTAGGTTCAGATTTAAACTCCATCCAGTACAGGAGTGTAAGTGTAATCGAAGACCCCTGAGGGTTACTGCTGGTGCTACAGTCTGTGCTTTGTGAAGCACTGTCACAAACAACCAGCTGGTCTGCAGAGAGAGACTGAGACAAATGGGATCAAATCCAGCACAACAAAGCCAATTCTCTCACCATTAAACACATCTGTGTGTTATACTCCAGCATTAAATGAACAAGGAACAACAACAAAGGCAGCTCACATCTCAGCAGACAACAGACCCATACACACCAGACTCACCAAGTAGCTGCATTAGCTGCTGCTGGCTCATCCCACCCAAAATACTTTGCAGATCCTGTTCACCTGAAATTGTCAAACCCAATCAGTGGTAAATTGTGTGTATTACAAGAAGGCAATTCATTTTCTTCAGGTATATCATAAGAGGAGGGAAACTGGAGTATATAACGACAATTGGAAATTTGGAGGAGATGAAATACAAGTGTAAAACAAGAGACATTTGGGCATGGAGAAATATATATGTTATTACAAGAATGGCTGGTAGTACATCAGGTAGAAGGCTGTGGACCAACACAATGAATTATAAGAAAAAAACCTCGAGTAAAAGGTTATAATATTGTAGGGATAAAAATATGGTAAAGACGAATGATAAATCAGCAGACCAAGTATGAAATGCTTGATAAGGTGACGGATTTATTTCGGCTGGAAGCAAAAAATAACACCCTAACCTATAGTTTGTAGTGACCATGTGACCCTACACCCAGGCTCAAGACTACCTTGTCCTACACAGTGGTAAATACAGTTTTTTTTAAAACATGAGAGAGTACATTACAGGTACATTACTGAGGCCCATAGGAAACTGAAGAGCAACCCAGCATGCATGAAATAAGAGTTGACCAAGGAAGATTGGTCTAAGTCTGACTACATCACCCTGTCAAAACTGTTAGCTCTAAAATCCAACTAACAGGAATAATAAAGCAACGCTTCTCCAGTGTAAGTCTGAACAAAGAAGACACAGATTGCAGAGTTTATCTTGTACCATGCATCTGATTAGATACAGTGAAATAGGTCAGGCAATAAATTGTATGTAGCTTCTTTATTAAAAATTCCATAAAGGACTAGGCATGAGTTGTTGAAGGCCTGTTATCCAGGGGACATAGAAGGGATAAGAGGAAATGAAACAGTAAATGAAGACGAAATGTTGCTACTGTAATCCCATGGCATATACAGACAGAAGGATGTTCACATTTCGTGAAATAATTGCATGTACATGATTGTTGCGCCATCTTTCCGCCTGCACAGATGATAGTGTTAAATTCTGCTGTAGAGCGGCAAGGAAATCACAGCCCATAGTGACAGCAGTTGTGGCTGGCAAGATCTGCTCAAGTTGTGGAAAGTCTTCCACAGTTACAGCCATGAGATTTCAGGGCCATCATTGTCACGGCAAATATTTCTTCTTCTTCACATTCACCAGCTGTAAACTCTGGCGGAAAGTTCTGGTTGTTCATCCACTTCTGAACTACAGTTCTGTTCCAGAACCTGAGTGTTGCGTGTGTATCCGTTTTACAGATCTGACTCATATGTATGCAGACATCTGGTTCCTTGCCTCTCTGGCAGATGTACTCCGACTTCGAAGGGAGCTCCCAATTAGTCGACTCTTACCACATGCTTTTGGGTAGGTAGTGGGTCTGTTCTTTCCCCCCCTATAATAGGGCCCTGGAACCCACACAGGAAGGCACATTTTTAATCTGCTTCCTCTGCTCTCCAACCAACCAACCTACCTGCTGTCATTTTTCTCTTCAATCAGACAATCCCTTCTACCATATACTCGATGCCACATCCTTATAATGTAATGCTGCCAGTTCTCTTCCTGGCTAGTAAAACTTCAGTTTTCTAGCAAAGGAACAAGAAGTGTACTGGTAGCATAATAAGCAACATGCAGAGTCCTAGCAAGCAGACAGGGTCAATACTTGAATAAAGATGAAAAGGTGGAAGGAGAAGAAACAAATGATATTTCAAATCTTCTAGCCTCACCAAGTCCAGATAGATCAGAGGGGAGACTGCCACTGCCTCCTCCCCTGGAAGAGCCCAATGTTGGTGGGTTGTTCAGGAAATCATTCACTTTCTTGCAGTTCTCCTCATCTTTATCTGTCTTGGGCTCCTGCAGTATGGACAAAAAAGCGTATCAACAATGACACAAATTTACTGAAAACCACTACTACTGTAACAGGAACACACACACACTGTCGTAGACAAAGATAAACTAAGAGCACCCTGGTGCTGGAAATGTGTACCCACTGCCAGAATTTTTCAAATGGTATTTTATTTAGTACATAGGAAAATATGATAGATACTGGATTACTTTTTAGTTTTGTCAACCACTGTGCCTGAGTGTATGTGTACATAATAGTATATCTATATGTACATAAATGATTTATCATTTATATTCTATAAAACTATAAACAGTCAAAAGAGAAGTCCTAACATCACATAATAGTATATCTATATGTACATACTGACTAAATGACTGATAACTTTTTATTTTACCTAAATGATTGATCATTTATATTATACGAAACTATAAAAAGTCAAAAGAGAAAGTACTGACATCTCCCATCGCAGTTGGGGGAAGGGGGGGGGGGGGGGATTAGCAGACCCACTGCCCCCCTAAAAGCATGTTGTAAAAAGTGAATTAGTGGTGTTTCCCCCAAAATTGGAGTGACAATTAATAGTGTTTCCCCCAAAATTGGAGTGATAATTAATGGTGTTTCCCCCAAAATTGGAGTGATAATTAGTGGTGTTTCCCCCCAAAATTGGAGTGATAATTGGTGGTGTTTGCCGCAAAATTAGAGTGATAATTAGTGGTGTTTCCCCCACAATTAGAAGTGATAATTAGTGGTGTTTCCCCCCAGAATTGGAGTGCATGTGTCGGAGAGGCAGGGAAGTAATAATCTGCATACAAATAAGCTAGATCTGTCAAGCGGATGTGCACACAAAATATTACTTCTGGAACAAGACGAAAGCCCTAAGGTGGATGAATATCCAGACCTCTCCACTGGAGTCTGCAACCGCTGAACACAAGAAGGAGGAGAGAAGAAAACACAACAACATCATCATCATCTCATGCACACGTCACACCTCACTGAACATATCTGCGCCAAATCTCACCTGTAGCCAGAAGAAGAATTTTCTAGACGATGACTTGAATTTGAGAACATAGACCCTGCCTGTGGTACACTGGCTCACATGTTTAAACTCAATATCGTCAGGGAAAATGATGAGGTCCTGAAATAACAAACAAAAACAATACACTTGAATATACCCAAGAAAATCCCAGGCTGGCTTCATCAATCAAGAATGAATCTTTCTCTTCTTCAGCCATTCGCAGCTCTTAAGATTCAGTGCTGCAAATATCAATATTTATAGGTCTGCCGGCGCTTCTTTGAATCGTTCCCCAAAATGGCGGCTGTAATATGATGGCGTTCAAAAAGGAGCTAAATTGGCACATTTCTGGCCATAAAATATCCAAAAATATCAGAATGCGGGGTCAGTTCTATTAAAAATATATGTGCCGGCTCCGAATAACGAAACAAATGCTCTGACAGGGTCTGGGCGATACGTTGCTTGCCGACCTGCTTCTGCGAGTGTGCCTCACCGCCGAGAGTATCCCCCGCGCCGCTACGCGCGGCGCGGATGGGGGCTAAACTAGATGGCTGGGACTCACGAGTGGAAGCTACCGCATCTCCTGCAACTTCCTCCAATTACTGCACTCGTGAGTTCCAGGCACCCAGATACGCTCGGCGATGAGTTTAATTGCGTTTGGCGCATGCCGAAAAGTCTGACATCTACCGCTCCAGTCGGAAGAACACAGTATTGCTATTTGGCTTTCATCGTCTGTAATGTCTCAAATTGGTCAACGGTCGCTAATATCGTCTGCTAGTATCGTCGTCTGCAGAAACGCTCGAAATTGTTGTCAAATGTCGGTATTTATCGTCTGCTACTAGTACCGTGTGCAAATGTTGATATTGGTTGTCAAGTATTCCTAGTTTTGCCGCGATTTGTTCGTTGGCAGAAAGTCCGTATTTTAGATATACGCGAACACCGTCGTTCGGATATTTTTGGATATTCTATGGCCAGAATGTGGCATGCCGCCATTTTGGGGAATAAATCAAAGAAGCGCCGGTCTGCCTGTAAATTTACTCCCCACAGTCTTCTTGGTTTGCCTCGTGGTCTACTCATTGCAATCAGACCTTGTGTGCATGCAGGTTTTGTCTGGCTATATACCCCAAACACTGCAGTCTATGTGACCTGATGTCAGTGACTAAGGGTGATTTAAACAGAATAAGAATTTCATTTTTTTTGCTTCTCACTCTTCATTCACTGCTGTTTCTAAGACAAGATTGGACTGCCTCACTAAATCATTGTGAACTGCTAGTACAGACTGTATCTTTGTGCTGGGTCATGCAGGTGTTTTAACTCTTTCAGAACCAAGGGACTCATTTAACATTAGAACTTGAGTGGTGGAAAGTGATGGAAGTAGATATTTTTGTGGATGTTCGATATTGTCCAATTAAACACTTACATCATTTACATGCTTAAATCAGGAAAAAGATGGGACAGCAAGATTTCAAACATCAGCTAGTGCAAAGGAGCTGGTGTAACGATCTCTTGTTATGCTGTACCTCTTCTATTTGCTGAAAAAGCTTTTTCTCGTACTGTCACTTTTGTTGTGGTTGTGGTTGGCACATCAGACCGAAAGGGCTTGGATTATTATTAAACTTGTTAAAAAAATGTTCAACAGTGAGTGGATTGATGTCATTGATAGTTACTGGTTTCATATGGATTGTCTTTCTTCCACATAACCATGAAGAGCTAGAAGCATGCAGGCGAGCTTAGCACGAAGCCTGAATACCGTAGATACAGCAAACAGTCCTCAGAGATCCCCGTTTAACCCAAAAAATTCATTTTTGAGCTGAACAACGCCAGCCTGTATAAACGAACCACCGCACCTTCCAAGTGCGAGCGTCAACGGCTTGACCACTTTGCCACGGAGCCCCCCTATTGTTGATAAACTAAGTGAAAACATTCATCTGTTACTGATTAACATAATCCCTTTTCCATAGTATTCGCAAGCATTCTTCATTTTATTGATAATGAGTGCATTGCACAAGAGTCCCTTGCTTTCGTTAACAGGCACGGCTCCAATATTTAGTTAGTTTTCAAAATATTCTTAATAGTATCACTCATAGCTAATTTGTGATCAGGCGTATGTTTCCGGGAGTAAAATTAGTAAATAAGTTCCTTTGTGATTCAATTCCGATTTATGTTGTGTTTTCACGGAGTAGCAGTGTTCTCATAAGGTAAGAAGGTCAATAGTACATTACTACTCTATAAAAATTAAGCATCATGAGTCTACTATGACTCATGTGATCTGTTGCGGCTCGATATATGACATTACAGGTTTGTTAAAGCTCAAGATTATATGTGTCGTGGGGACAGACAATAATTTTTCTTGAGCATGAATAGATCCACCTCGGCAAAAGCAAATAACTTTTTTTAAATTCAATTCAACCATTCTCATTAAGAATTCTACTCAGTTTAAGAACACAAACCAATTTTTCAAACATTCATTTATGCGCAATAGGGGATTTGGTAGCTATATATAGAAAAAAAAATCAATAAAACATGAATAGTAGTAAATTATACTAACTAGATAATTATTGATCTATTTTACTGTTTCATTAGGTTTAATTTTTTTCTCATAAAAAAATTATTCTTAATAAGATTAACTAATATAGATTAGCTTTATTCTAATTCCCTGCTCATTTAATAAAATTAAATAGCGAACATAATAGATAGTAAGAATGACCATTATTTAGAAATATAAAGAAGCCAGAACATGTGGCTGCCAGCGAGCCCACCATCGGTTGAATGTGAAAATCCTGAGGTGGGGGTCGTCAAAGGTAATTAAAAAAAGAAGCTTAACAATTGAAGTCAAATAAAATATAATTTTATGCCTTAATAAACACTAAAGTGGCTACGATAGTGAAAAAATAAACATTAGCACTGTAACATTCACTGATTGCAAACAATTGTTCATTAATGCATCATCCTGTGTTCAGCCTAAAGCTAAACTGAGAACAAATTAATCAGCCATTAGTGACTAGTTGTGCATATAAAATAGTCATGTGTAATATCTGAGCCATTTACTTGATCATAGGATAAAACCACAAAGAGATAAATTACATGCAAACTTTAAATTAATATTGGAACATTAATTGCCCTGATAATTTTATATCCATATTAAAAAGACAAAAATTCGTTTAGCCCAGCTGTCCGCCATTCTGTTCATAACTAGGTAATTATACTAATTCTGAAAGACTTGATCGCGAGAAAAAAATTTATTATCTGAACACATGTACTTCATTTTAAACTCAAACTTACAACTTATGTTAAAAAAGGGTACGCAGATTCATTTATACCACAAGACAGATTGTACAATGCTTAAAAATAAAGAAGTTTAGTTGTATTTTAAGAAACTACTTCCCGTAATTCAAAATATAAAATAACTTTCACGAGATGTATCTTTTCTAAACCATGGGGTACCGTGCGGTCTGACCTTGCTGAAGGTAGTCGCACGGAGTCGCGTTCGTTTATGAACAGCTAGTATTCAAGTGACCTCGGGTCTTTAAAGTGCTAGACGGAAACGCTTAAAATTCAGGGACAGGAAGGTCACTGTTGCGTAACTTAGGCAAGCCCTAGCATCTGTAAAAAGGGGCGTGTCACGCACAAACGGTATATACTAGTTGTGCAGTATATCAGAATACTAAAATAAATCCTTATCCATTTGTGTTAATTTTCATGAATCATAAGTGTATGTTGTACATCAGCTGCAGTTGTATGGTCTGTTTTAATGTGCTGCACTTGTTAGAAGTCAAAATCTTATAACCCCACAACAACCCCCCCCCCCCCCCCGCCCCCCCCCCCCCCCCCCCCCCCCCCCCCCCCCCCCCCACCCCGACATCCTGAGCCCAACACTTGAAACCCCCCCCTACTGTCTAAACCCCCATGGGACTCAAAGTCAGAGTTGGACTTCAATCTGTTTACACTTGAAACATGCACAAGCGTTAATCAAAATGTTCTCTCTCTCTCTGCCTTTGTGTGCATCAACCACTACCTTTTATTATGTGCTCAACCCCCCCCCCCCCCCCCCCAATCGCGCCTGAGGCTACCACTAGTATCACCACCCTATGGGTCCTCCAGCACCCCCACCCCCCCCCCCCCCCCACCCCGGGTCAATATCGTCCATTATATGAATCAAAGGCAAAAAGTAATGACGATAAGGTCATAAGTAACGACGATAACCCTTTCGTCGACATCTGATTAATAACTCTTTAACTTTAACTGCAACAAATAAAACAGGTTTTTTAAAATTCATAGAGAATTCAGAACACAAAGTCACAAAGGCAAGCGAGTCGAGGTACGTACGTCTTCCACAACGCTAGAGGTCCGATCTTTCCAACAGAAATGCATGAGAGAATCATCTGACTGGTAAACATAAACAAGCCCCTTTCTTTTATCTGGATGGACCATCTTCCCCTTCATCAGCATTTTGCCTGCGCGGAATTCCACCAGGTTTTTACTCTGGCTGCGGGAGGAGGTGCTGCTTCCAAAGAGGGCCGTCATCTTGGAAATGTTGAGATTGCAACGTCACCGGAAGTGTGGTTGACACTCTTGTGGTTATTTGTACAACGGAATTTATTCGCCCAATTATTCTGAAATTGTCGATTTTTCAAAATAAATCTTCTGTTTCGTTCACTACTAGTCAGTTGCATATCCTTTACAGTTTTTATAAGGAGTAGAAAATTATAGGGAAGAGAAAAAGTTGGTAAGAAACAACAATTAGTTTATGTTAGCTTTACAAAATAGATCACAATAAACAAACAAAGGACGTTGCGGCGATTAGCCTTCATCAGCACATAAAGGACAACACAGTTACAGGACGTTGCAGAACCAACCCTGACAGCCCCTGGCTGTTGTTTCTCTAGGCAATTTACATCTTGTAGTTTGGCATTGCCCTGGACGGTCGGCTTTCTTGATACCACTGTCGAAACCAAGGCAAGGTGCATTGCCCGCAGCTGGGATCAAACCTGGCATTCCGGCATTACGAAGCGAAGCGTTCGCATCGACTTAGCCACAGAGCCGACCGTTCACTACTACTGGTAATAATTTGTTCTTCGTTCACTACTACTACTCTTGCTGCTGCTGCTGCTGCTGCTACTACTACTACTAGTACTACTACTGCTGCTGCTGCTGCTACTACTACTACTACTACTACTACTACTACTACTACTACTACTACTACTAATTACTGGCACCTTTCCGTCTTTCCTGACGATAGTGTTATATTGCGTTATGGGGAGGCATGGGATTCACAGCCCATGACTAGCAAGACCTGGCGCGTTAAAAAAAAGTCTTTCACAATGACAGCATGGGACTTCAGAACCATTGTTGTCAACATCTGTGTTTAGGCCGTGTCTTCTCAGACGCTCAGCTCTAATCCTTCGTGATGTGCCCCCCCCCCCCCCCCCCATTTAAAACACACACACACACACACACACACACATACACACACAACACGGTCATGGCATTTTTTTTCACGAGTCCACCTCTTTACCTATATAATTCCTGTCCCGCTTGTACGTATCTTTAAATATTAGTAGAGGTAGGCCTCGACATCTTCTACCTGTCTTTAATTCACCATAAAGGATGTCCTTGGGACTCTGCTATCCTCCAATCTCCAGGTGTGACCATGCCACCTGAGCCTTCGTAGACTGAGTATTGAGAAGACTGTTGTAATACCTGCTCTTTCCAATACCTCAGTCTTTGTGATTTTGTCCTGGCACTTAATGCCAAGTATTCTTCTTAGGCATCGCATGTGAAAGCTGTTTAGCCGTCCATTCCTTGTGCAAATAAGTTGAACAAGTTTCACTGCCATAAAGCAGAACACAGGCCTGGTGGGAACGCGTTTTTGCTTTAATCGTGAGCTTTCTGTTCTCTCAAACTCTTTAGTTACTACTACTACTACTACTACCACTACTACTACTAATACTACTACTACTACTACTACTACTACTACTACTACTACTACTACTACTACTACTACTACTACTACTACTAATACTACTACTACTACTACTACTACTACTACTACTACTACTACTACTACTACTACTACTACTACTACTACTACTACTACTACTACTACTACTACTACTACTACTACTACTACTACTACTACTACTACTACTACTACTACTACTACTACTACTACTACTACTACTACTACTACTACTACTGCTGCTGCTGCTGCTGCTGCTGCTGCTGCTGCTGCTGCTACTACTATTGGTAGGCTGAGTGGTCTCGGGGCATGGCGTCCGCCTTGAGTGCTGGACATCCCGGGTTTAGGTCCTGGTGAAGGCTTAGATTTTTTCATGGGGACTTCTAGAATTTCCCCCTGGTCTCTGGATAGTAAGACAGGGCGTTCGTGTGTATTGCTGCAGACGTAAAAAATACTTTGGCAGTTGGAAATCGAGAAGAAAAGCCTAACGGCAAAATTAGGAGTTAAAAATCTACCCAAAGTATTTCAGAATCCTCGCAGGTGCTACGGAATTCGTGTACTGCCCTGAGATTCTTCGGACGTGAGTAAGTAAAATAAGTAAAAGAAAGCCCACGTATGTCCTGGTTACAACCCTTGTGCCGTGATGTTGATAAGTTGTTTAAAACCTAAAACCCTTAAACGAAACTACTACTACTACTACTACTACTACTACTACTACTACTACTACTACTACTACTACTATATACTACTAC